TTATCCTTCTCTTTCTTTCTTTCGCTTTTCCTCTTTCTTTATTCCTCTCTTTCCGTTCCTCTCTTTATGTTTGCCATGCGATTTGTTTATATGTTTATCTATCTGTCTGTCTCTCTCTTCCTCTCTGTCTGTCTGTCTGTCTGGTTCTCTCTCTCTCTCTCTCTCTCTCTCTCTCTCTCTCTCTCTCTCTCTCTCTCTCTCTCTCTCTCTCTCTCTCTCTCTCTCTCTCTCCCTCTCCTTCTCCGTTTGTCTGTCAGTCTGTCTGTCTCTTTCTTCCTTTCTCTCTCTTACTGTCTTTCTCTGTCTATTACTGTCTGTCTCCCTCCCTCACTCCGCCTCTTCCCCCTCCCCTACTTCCCTTCCTCCCTCTCCTTCCCTCCTTCCTCACTCCCTCTTTCTCCCCCCTTCTCTCCAGCCTGTGTTTTGAGCTGCTTGATGAGATGAATATATGTTCGCACATCGCCTGCCTGTCTGCCTGCCTGCCCGCCCCCTTTGCTTGTATATCTGCCTGCCTGCTCGCCTGCTTACCTGCCTGTCTTGGGTGTCAGCAAGAGAGGTGGCTGCGGAGGGCGTCATTGAACACCTTGAGGAACAGGAGAGGAGCTGGAGGAGGAGGGGGAGGGAGTGGAGGGGGAAGAGGAGAAGGAGAAGGAGGAGGAGGGGGAGAAGGAGGAGGAGGAGGAGGAGGAGGAGGAGGAGGAGGAGGAGGAGGAGGAGGAGGAGGAGGAGGAGGAGGAGGAGGAGGAGGAGGAGGGAGAAGAGGAGAAGGAGAAGAAGAGGGAGGAGGGAGAGGAGGAGGAGGAGGAGGAGGAGAGGGAAATGTGGAGGAGGAATGGAAGTGGTGGTGGAGGAGGAGGAGGAGGAGGAGGAGGAGGATGAAGAGGAGGAGGAGGAGATTGAAATGAGGAGGAGGGATGGAGATGGTGGAGGTGGAAGGGGAGGAGGTGGAGGAGGAGGAGGGGAAGGGAAAGGGGGACGAGGAGGAGGAGGAGGTGGAGGGGAACGAGAAGGAAGTGGTGGTGGCGTCGGGTGAAGAAGAGAAGAGAGGGCAAGAAGGAGGAGGAGGAGGTGGAGGAAGAAGAATAAAAGGAGAATAGAAGAGGAAGAGAAGGAGAATAAGTGGCTTATCCAAACAGCCGTAAAGTAATTTGAATATCCAGAGCTGAAAGAGATGGAAACTGCGAAGCGGAAGAAAAAGAAGAAGAAAAATAATAGGCATAAAGGAAAATGGAAAAAAAATGTGACATTGAAAACAACAGAAGATAATAAGAGTAATAATCACACCAATAAAAAAACAAACAAACTAAAAAACAGAAAGCAGTGGTAGAGATAAGTAAAAAAAAAGAAAAAAGAAAAAGAAGAGAATAATTAGAAAGAGCAAGAAAGGATAAGAGGGGGCGTGATGAAGGAGGGAGAAGGAGAGATTAGATTGTGGCGTTGCTGTGAAAGAGGAGAAGAGGAGAGAAGGAAGAAGGAAGCGAAAGGGGAGATGGAGAGGTCAGGAGAGGATCAAGAGACGAGAAGAGAAAGAGGAGAAGAGAAGGACTGGGAGAACAAAGGAAGTGAATAAAGAGTGATGCGAGTGATGTGAAGAAGAGAGAAAAAAATGGAAAAAAATGATATTTTCAATATTACGGAGATTTTTATTTATTTATTTATTCATATGATTATGGTGGC